CTCCAAGGTCCCTCCCAACTCTGTTATTCTGTTCATGCTAAGGTCCTTATGAAGTTCTCCTTTGCAGGTCCCATCTGGAGAACAACCCTGCTTGTCCTGGGCCCTCTGGCCTTCATCCTGGCAATAATCATCCTGAAGTTCAACATCCAGTCCAAAAAGTAAGTGCTAGGCTGGGGCTCTGTGGGATTGGGAGCAATTCTGTCAATTAAAAAAAAATAGTTCTTTGGTCTTTTTAGTTGCCAGCAGAAAGGGAGTGGGGGAAAGCAGTGCATTCCTTAAATGCCTCAGATAATTGCTAGGCAGGCGAAGCTGTTGGCGTGCAAGATTATTACTGGAGAGCATGATTGATGACTCTTGGCTATGGAGGTGTCCCATTGGAGAATCTACATCCAGGGAGTGGGGGAAAGACCAGGGTCGGTTGCACCCAGGTAATGTCGACATGGTCACTCCTAATAAATCTGAGAGATGCGGCTAGAGACTTACGATTAGAATGGGGGTGGATTTGTCGGAGCGTTGACATTCTCATTCTTTATTTGTGATATTTACCACCATAACACAACTCTGCGTGATTCAAGCAGCCTGTTTCTTGTGGCCACAGGAAGAAGAAGCTGCTAGTTTTGAAGAGCCGGCAGATGAGCTGTGAGGGACACCAACCTTCACCAGGGGCAGTCAGCCCCACCTCCAAGATGCAGGCCATCCCTGCCTCACCTTCCCCTTCGCTCAAGCATGGCGAGATCTTGATCGAATGGAAAGATGGGACTACCACCCCGCTCTTTGACCATTTATACTAGCTGACCTACTCCATTTTCTCCTGGCTGATTCTCTCGAAATCCAGTTCTTCCTAGCAGAACCCTTTGCACTCACACTTGAAGCTTCTATGGCCTGGGGCTGATGATGTAGTAGACCAGAGATCTCCAGACGTAGCAACTCTAAGACTTGCGGACTTCAACTCCCAGAATTCTCCAGCCAGCATAGCTGGCTGGAGAATTCTGGGAGTTGAAGTCCATAAGTCTTAAAGTGGCCATGTTTGGGGACCCCTGTAGTAGACTAATACTTTCATTTTTTAAAAAATAACAAGCAAGGAAGATGTGGTGACCTTCACACTTGCATTGTAGTTACTACCTGTATACGTTGATGACCAAACGAGGGCAGACCTGGGTAATTCTTGGATGAGACACCATTAGGACTTCCAAAACACATAAAGAACGGTTGCTGGAATTTGGATAGGTCTAGTTTAATGAAGTTTAGTGTTTAATTTTTAGTTTAATGAAAGAGACGCAGTGGCTCAGGGGCCAAGACGCTGAGCTTGTGGATCAGAAAAGGTCGGCAGTTCGAATCCCTACCGCCGTGTGTCATGGATTGAGCTCCTGTTCCTTGTCCCAGCAGCTTCTGCCAACCTAGCAGTTCGAAAGCATGTAAAAAATGCAAGTAGAAAAAATAGGGACCACTTTTGGTGGGAAGGGAACAGCGTTCCGTGCGCCTTCAAAGGCATTCAGTCATGCCGGCTACATGACCATGGAGACGTCGTCGGACAGCGCTGGCTCTTCTTTGGCTTTGTAATGGAGATGAGCAGCGCCCCCTAGAGCCAGGAACAACTAGCATGGATGTGCCAAGGAGGGGAACCTTTACCTTTAGTTTAATGAAAAGAAGTAGGGGAGACATGATAGCAATCTTCCAATATTTGAGAGGTTGTCACAAAAATGAGGGGATCCCAACTGTTTTCCAAAGCACCTGAAGCCAGGACAAGAAGCAATGGATGTAAGATGTATTATTGTAAGGTGATGACCAACAGGATGCTTGGTTTTAAATCTGTCTCGAAATAAAATAAAAAGCGTGTTTAAATAAAAGTCCAGTTTCTCAAAAAGAGAATGCCATTATAATCTGGCAGACTTGAACCTTTCAATAAATTGAACCTCCGAAACAGGGTGGAACCATTTTTCTAGGTCCATCCAAAAAGCCCTTAAGTGGTAAGTGGCCCGCGGGAGTCTCAGAAGGAGAGATGGACACGGCATCTCCTCTCATTGACTCCATCTTATCCTGGAGCTTCTACCAACAGGGCACAAGTCCTTTGCGGGACCTTCTGCCCAGGTAGGACGTAACCAAGACCTCGCAAACGGACAGAGCAAGAATCAGACTTGGTCTGCGAGAGTTTTTGGAGTGAACCCAGAAAGACTGTTTCTGTGTTGTTAGTTGCGAAATCGTGTCCTACTCATCATGTCGCTATGGACAACGTTCCTCCAGGCCTTCCTGTCCTCTACCATCTTCTGGAGTCCATTCAAGCTCATGCCAACTGACTCCATCCAGCCACTTCCTTCTTTGCCGTCCCCTTCTTCTTCTTTTCCCAGCATTAGGTTCTTCTCCAGTGAGTCCTTCCTTCCTTCCCATTAGGTGGCCAAAGTCTTTTGAGTTTCGTCTTCAGCATTTCTGTTAGCGTTCCTCCACATGGCACCTTCCAGAAGTATGCAGTAACACCCAGAATGTGGGGTCCTTGATGCTCTCAAGAGCCTGGTTGTTTTCTTGCAGATGTTTCATGACCCAACTAGGTAACATCATCAGAGCTAGAAGGGGGAAGAGGAGGAGGAGGATTGTGGAGTTCTTGGTGCTCTCTTGAGCTTGGTTGTTTTCTTGAGAGACGTTTTGAGACCCAACTAGGTCACATCATCAATGCTAGGAGGGAACAAGTTTTGCAGAGTGGAGGTGAAGGTGGGAGGAGGTGGGAGGAGAGGAGGATGGAAAGGAGGACAACTGTGGGGTCTTTGGATGTTTTCTTTTAGATGTTTCATTACCCAGGTAGGTAACATCATCAGTGCTAGAAGAGAATGGGGGTTACAGAGAGGAGGAGGAGGATGATTGTGGAGACCTTCGTGCTCTCTGAGCTTGGTTGCTTTCTTGCAGATGTTTCATGACCCAACTACATCATATACAGAGATGTACATATTTTTATGTTACCCAAAAGGGGAGTATGTTAGGAATAACCATAGTTACCTAACGTTGTTTGGGTAAATAATATATGATAGCAAAGTTTAAATGTGTTTTTCACTTTAAACTCTAAATCAGGGGTCCCCAACCGCCGGTCCGCGGACCGGTACCGGGCCGCGGAACAAGCCTTACCGGGCCGCTGGTTGCTGGGCGCCGCCATCTTTTTTTGGTAAAAAAAGCAATTTTTCGTCAAAAAAGATGGCGGCGGCAGCGCTTCCGGTGAGCTTTTCCGGGTAGAAAGCCATTTCTACCCGAAAAAGCTCACTGGAAGCGCTGGCGCCGCCATTTTTTTTGATGAAAAATCACTTCCGGTGACGTCACCGGAAGTGATTTTTCGTCAAAAAAAGATGGCGGCGCCCAGCTGACGCCGGAACCGGGCCGCGGCGCCCAGCTGACGCCGGAACCGGGCCGCGGCGTCGAAAAGGTTGGGGATCCCTGCTCTAAATGATATAATTTGGGTGCGGTTGAGAAACTGCCATAAGAGGGAGCTAGAGAACCTGGATTGCTACTGGATTGATGGTTGATTGTTCTGCGTGTTCCCTGTTGCTGACGAAGGAAGAAAGAGTTTTGAATGCTGCATATCTAATCTACTGTGAGAAGATATTTACTGGACTGATTTATGGATTGACATTGTAAGTTAACTGACCTTTTTTTTCGACACTGGATTTTTGCAATTGAACAATCTCCGGACTGAACTGACTGAACACTAGTGAATGATATTTGGACTGTTTGACCCTGCTAAACTCTTAATGGAATAAACTATTCAACTAAGACAGTGTATCCGTTTTTACTGAGTGTGTAAACTAAAAAACGCTTTCTCTCATATTCGCCTGACTGCCTGACTGCTGTGCACATTCTGCTAGGGTATATCCCTAACAATCACATCATCAGAGCTCAAAGGAAGAGCAATTGGAAGAGGAGGACAACAACAACAACAACAACAACCCTGGGGTCCTTGGTGCTCTCTGAGCTGGGTTGCTTTCTTCATGACCCAACTAGGGAACATCATCAATGCTACAAGGGAACGGGGTTTGCTCTCTATTTATACACGGTCGCTTAATCCTGCATAAGCTGGGAGCAAACCTCCACCTCCCTAGCACGGATGGCGTTACCCAATTGGATCGCGAAACGTCTGCAAGAAAAAGAACCAAGCTCGGATCTCTGGGAGTTGGAAGTCCCACCCACCTTGGAGGGGCAAAAAGTTGAGAAACGCTGCTGTTAAGACAGGGAAGGACAGCTGTGCAACCTCTGCCCAAGCATTCCCGAATCCCACGAAAGGAAATTTATTCTTTGGAAGAGAGAAAGAGATGGGCCTCTCGGAGGGTGCCTTGCATGTCCTCGTATTCTGCCAGCCTGCAGGCCTCGCTGAGGGTCAGCCAGCGGAAGGCCTGATGCTCGGAAGAAAGCTGGATCGCCGTGTCCCGGTCCTTCAGCTCGGCCAACCAGTAGACCACAGTTTTGGGTTTGCCTCGGACCACGTAGTTCAGTTCCTTCTTGAAGCCCTCCAGGATGGTGAACTGGGAGGAGGCCAGGCCAGCCTCTTCCTGGGTCTCTCGCAGGGCGGTGCCCAGGTCATCTTCCCCGGGGTCTACGTGCCCTGATGAGAGAAGACAAAGCAGGGGTTTCAGAGCAGGCCAGCCCCCCCCCCCCACTCCCTGTAAGATTCTAGAGCGGTGTGGTCCGAACTTGGCAAGATGGGTGGACTTCAACTCCCAGAATTCCCCAGCCGGCATGCTTGCTTGATAGGCTGGGCGACTTCGGGCCAATCACCAGGAGATGGAGAGTTCTAGTCCTACCTTTGGCATGAAAGCCAGCTGGGTGACTTTGAACCAATCACCAGGAGACTGTGAGTTCTAGTCCTGCCCTTAGCATGAAAGGCAACCGGATGACTGGGCCAAACACCAGGAGGCCGTGAGTTTTAGTCTCACCTTTGGCATGAAAGTTAGCTGGGTGACTTTGAGCCAAT